ACATTCAATTGAACTAAACTATGCATGCCTATTTAAATATATTTACACATGGCTTGTGTATATCGTATATATACATATATATTATTCATACCCTCCGGTGTTTAGGACGCTAGCAGATTTTGACATCAAATTTTGGGGTAAAAAAGTGAGTCTTATACACCGAAAAATACAATATATATCAACAATCTTCAAAATTATTATGCTAAATATGCACACATGACCACAAAATTATGTAATTCACAATTTAAAAACAATTATACATACATAAGGGGTTACCAAGTTTTTTCAAATAAGAAACTACTAAACTTAAATAAAATTACTGAACCATTTTACTTACAAACTCTTAAATATAATCATTAAATGCTATCACAGACAACTAAATTAACAGCCTTTAGAAAAATAATTCTGTACTACTTCAGTTAGAATCATTACAAACAAAACATCTTTGCTTAAAATATATTAAAATCTGATGAAAAAAAAAAGTACAAATAATCAACTATGCTGTAGTACATATAGCTAACAGATCATCACCACAATATTTCTGGGCCTATGTTTATACAACACTGAAGGATGGTATGGTATTTTGTTATAACAAGACATTCATTACAAAGAGGTGAGATTTTCAAAAGCATCACATAATATGAAACATTTAATTATTTCAAAAATCTGAACTATAATTGAAAATTATGCTTATTATTATTTTTCAGTTTGAAGTGTAGAAAGATATAAAAAGTAAGTTTCTCCATTCTCCTTGGACCAAAGATGTGATGGAACATTGTGTCTACACAAAAATAAAATGCTGAATTTTGAAGTAAGAGAACAAACTGTAATCAAACCACATGAAATTTTGGACTACAAATTCTATATTCAATGTATTAAATGCACATGTTTTTAATTCCTTATAACTACCATTAGGATATCTTTAGATTAGTGCTGTATTTACACAAAAGTAGCCATTTGGGTGTGTGTTGAATTTGAAAGCATTATTTAACACTTACTATTTCTCTTCATAAATACACAGGTTGAATTTATTTCTGTACGGTAGCAATGGGCTATTTTCTACTACCACCCCACTCTTAACTACATATACTAAACCTCTTTAATTTGCAAAACTTTACTCTGTCTGATATACATGTATATGTAAAATAAATTACCATATTGGAAGCTTATAAATATTCGTGATTTTGAAATCATGTACTGCCGGGTATTTAGTATTTTGAGGATCGTTTCCAGCAGCTTGTAGTGCAAACACCCATGACAATTGACACTAAACAAGAATGACGATCAATATTTATTTTTCCAATGTAAAACTTTATTTCAGATTGAAGACAAATCAGTCTCATAATTTACTATTACTCATTTTCTAAGTCAAATAAGAGGTGATCGTAACTCATCAATATTCAAATTTTTGGACAGCCAAGTATTTAGTATTTGAAAGTTCATTCCTGGCTGCCATGTATTTAACCACTGTGAAAATATAAGTATTCAAAGCTAAGGAATGTTGAATGCCAGTGTTACATAATTTATCAGAGAAAGTTTTAAAAAATGTCTAAGGGGTCACTAACACTAATAGTAATAGGTATGTGTGTAGGGAGTTTATAACTTAATCAGCCCAAACTTATTACAACTTTCATAATTTATGCGATGAAATAACTTTTTTCAATGCTATACATACTGACAACAGCTATACTATTTACTACTGCTACTAGTACTAGCTGAAGCGAATCACCTATTGCAAGTTGCACAGAATACCAGGCTAATACAAGGGGGAAAACTAAAATAAAAGCATATTCAATGACCTAATTTTAAAGCAAGTTCTAAATAGTAAATACTAAACTATTTTCCATTTATAACCTAATACTATTATTTCAATACTACTAGTCTTTTTTTATTGACAAATTCTAAGCCTAACGACATTAACGTTAATACTACTTTTTACTAGTACTGTACTACTACTAGCACTAAGTTACTTGTGTTAAATTATGTTTCATTTCATAACAATAAGAATTATCAACATTTATAATATCATAGCATAGACACTCTAAACTTAAGCACAACAACATTGATATAACTATATGAAAATTACTTAAATTACCTTTTTTAACTTATAGTGGTAACAAATCTTGTTACAGTTTTGCGTACGAACAATTTTCTTTTACAACAATTATACCCTAGGATGTCGTCACCGAAATAATCTACAAATAGTACAATAGCTCATGGACTTAAGAAGACCGTTCGAAAATAATAAAAATATTACAGTTTTTTCTATGTTTATATGCAAATCATTATTATAAAAAGTTTTGGCTTTGCGCGTTTTTTCGTTAGAATACTTCATATTAAAAGTCGTAAAATAATAATAATAATAAATAGCGAAATAAACTTTTAATATTAAAATGATATAAAACATTTAGAGGAAGGTTATACTGTTTAAAATTGATCATTTGCAATATTAAATTATTATGTTATATGAATAAAGAGTTACCTTTTTGTGAAATTAAAAAACAGGTTGAACAAAAATGAACTACTTCTTTTATAAAATTATCAGTAGCTCCTGATAAGTCTCCTAGTGGAACATCGGTATGTCTACGGACTTATAATCCTAAAGTTCGATTCCCCGCGGTGGACACAACATATAGCCCAATGTGGCTTTACTCTAAAATAAACAAAGCTTCTGATAAAAGCAAATTACCTATGAAGTAGATGAATATATTATGCGTTTCCCGTTCCTCTTGTAATATTATAGTGTTTCTGAATTTATTCTTTGTTCTAGTTTCCCGTTAAAAAAAGAAAAAAATCTGGCCTCCCGTTAAAAGAAGAAAAAATCTGATCTCCCGTTGGAACAGCAGTAAGTAGTGGTTCGATTCCCCGAAGTAGACACGACAGGTAGCTTTGTCATAAAACAAACTCGCAAATCTTTGTTCTGTATATATGCAAATCTCACAAAACCCGTGACCGATAAAGCCGTTCATTCGATTTCGTTCTAATTCCTGTGTTCCTTTGTTATTTTCGAATGAATAATACTTTTCTGTTCGGAATAGAAGAACAACAACCAAGCGGAAGAGTTGGCCACCAAGGGGAGATATTTGACAGAGAGAGTTGAACATAAGACTTTTTCCAATTCTATGCAGACCATAATTTTTATCTCACTATAAAGAACGGCTGAGGAAGAAGAGCAACAGATATCTGGTGCACCAAGAAAGGCTTTTCGTGTTATTTCCCTAAGGATTGATCTCAGTCAGTACCGGATTAACGCATAGGCCAACTAGGGCCCCGACCATACAGGGGTCCCACCAGCTACCTAAATAAAAATAAGTTATGATTCATAAAACTAGCAGAATAGAGGCAAGAGTAAGTTATTATTATTCCCAAATATTACCTGGGCTTAGGGCCTCAATAAACCTTAATCCAGCCCTAATTTCATTGCTAGAGAAACAAAGACAACTGAGGATCATCATGGCAGTGTGGCATTTGATGAGGCTGAGACCTGGTAGGGTGATCTTCATATGTCCCCCAGACTGGAGATGATGTTGGAAGACAATATTTACCAAACATAGACATTTCAGCAGTAGGTGAGACAGCAGGCACTAAATTGAAAATTGGGCGCATAACAGGGCAGTAGTGAGCCTCCCTGATCGAGGGAATATACTGCTATGGATCATGGAGGAGTTTGAAGTCCAGTAACTCAATGAATGAGCTGCAAATCAAACCTAATTATTTTGCAACTTTAGAACAGTGGCCTACTTTGTGTTACTGGTCAAGTTCCTCAGAGCTCCTACCATGTTGTGCCCATGATGTCAAGGGCATCTCAGTCAAATGGTGGCTGGGAAGTTGTGAAGAGGAGCATATAATTATGACCATGGCTTCCTATGAGCGAGGCAAAAAATATCACAATGTTGACATTCAAAGCTACAACAAAGGAGAATTTTGACTGTTTCCTGAAGAACTTCAGGCAGGTAACAGCCTAAAATGGCAGAGTCAAGAACAGGCTTGTAAAATGCTTCGTTCTAAGTTTAGGTGGTCTGAGCCTAGACTCCATCAAGCACTTAAATTAGGGGCAATTCTGGGATTGTGAGAAAACAGAGTAATCAATCAGATCAAAATTAAGGTTTAGAAGAGGGGTGCCACAGAAAATATAACCATTTATGTCAAAGATCTGCGCCATTTGCAATGGCTTCAGTGGATTGTAAGGATATTCTCTTTGACAACAGGCAGTATCTGCCGTGATAGAGTACTAAGATTTAACTTCGAGCCAGTCACAAGAAAGTTAGAAACATGTTGTAGCAGCTTTAGTGACTTCGCCCCAAACATTCCATCCTACCCAAGCACCCCCATCATGCAAAATTTTAACTCAGATAAAGGTCAACCCACCACCCACACATCATTGCATTGTGATACAACCATACTGGTATTCAGTGAAGTGGCAGTGCTATCCCATTCTAAACTGTATGGGTCGCTTCAGCTTACAGGGACAACAACTAACTTAACTATATAGATCGCAACAACTTAAAGGGGCAAAAAATATATTAATTGTATAGGTCGCATCAACTAACAAGAGCAAAAACTTACTTACCTGTATATGTCACATCAGCTTAAATGAGGCAAAAACTACTTAACATTATAGTATATTTCAGCTTACAGGGGCAAAAACTAAATTCTAACTTACCTGTATAGGTCACGTCCTGCTTAAAGGAGAAAATTTAACCTCCTGTATATGTCACATCAGCTTACAGGGGCAATAACTATCTCAACTGTATAGATCAAATCAGCTAACAGGGGCAAAAACTACTTAACTGTGTAGGTCGTATCAGCTTACAGGGGCAATAACTATCTCAACTGTATAGATCAAATCAGCTAACATTGGGCAAAAACTAACTTACTTTTATATGTCACACCAGCTTACATGGTCAAAATCTAACTTACCTGTATACGTCGCATCAGCTTATAGGGGCAAAACTATCTTACCTGTATTGGTCACGTAAGCTTGTAGGAGCAAAAACTATCTTAACTGTATGGGTCACATCAGCTTACAGGAGCAAAAACTAATTTACCCCTATAGGTAACGTCAGCTTGCAGGGGCAATAAGTAACTTACCTATATAGGTCACGTCAGCTTACAGGGGAAAACTAACATATCTGTATTGGTTATGGAAGCTTAAAAGGGCAAAACTAACTTAATTGTATAAGACGCATCAACTTACAAGGGTAAAAACTAACTTCTCTCTAGAGGCCAGGTGATCCTATAGGGGAAAATTCTAACTTACCTGTATAGGTCACGTCCTGCTTAAAGTTTGTTTGTTTGTTTTTGAATTTCGCGCAAAGCTACATGAGGGCTATCTGCGCTAGCCATCCCTAATTTAGCAGTGTAACACTAGAGGAAAGGCAGCTAGTCATCACCACCGACCGCCAACTCTTGGGCTACTATTTTACCAAAGAATAGTGGGATTGACCGTCACATTATAACGCCCCCACGACTGAAAGGGCGAGCATGTTTGGTGTGACAGGGATTCGAACCCGCGACCCTCATGACTGCAGTTCAATTACTCACTGTCTCCGCGTCGCTTCGTGGCTGTTCTTATATATACAAGACTACA